CCCCCCCCCCTTCCATAAAGGAGTCCATGTCATGACTGCTAAATTTCCTTTAATACATGAATTTTTTTTTAAAATAATACTTTCCTCATCCCTCCATTTGCTATCTTAATAACAACCTAGAGTTTTGCTAATCCTTTAAAGTTTCTAGTTTATGTCAGCTTTTTCTACATTGACAATTTTAACCAGTCTAGCTTTAAGAAGTTAAACATGAACATATCAAATAGCCTTTGATCGTATCGGCTTTCCTCATTAATACAATATCCCACTTCTGTCAACAGCAAAGAATGTCTGAGCTAAAAAAATATTGATTGAATACGAGAGGATTGGTTACAGTGAAATATTTGTACTCTTATTTTTTAATTACAATATGTTTAACTTCTTCATTTGAACCTACACTCACCTACTCATAAACCATACCAAACAAAAAAAGAGATACTCCACTTAGAAGAACGCAGTGACAGAAATGTTAATTTTTTTACTCCGTTTATCCAAGAGCCGACAATTCTTCATGGCCATGCGTTACGACGAAAGCCAGTGATGATTTCCTCGCTGTGTAGCAGGACAGCAATCCCCAATCATAGGCTCGTTTTCCGCCGCTCTCTCGGGTCCAGTCTTTCTCTTTCCTCTCCGGGGAGGAGCGCGGGCTCCGGTTCCTGAACAGCGGCTGGTAATCGAGCCTATCCCCCATCATCGATAGAAATATCGTCCAATTTACAGGACCATATCTTTTCTAAACCTTAAGTTTGTTTGTTCGCTTTGTTATTCTTCATTAAAGTTGTTCAGTCTGTGCAGCCCCGTTTACTGCCTAGTTTAAGGTAACATTCTAACCCTTTTTTTTTTCTTTCTTCCTAATTTATTGTCCGTGGACGTCGTGCATGTGTTCCGCGAACCTGTACAGCAGAGGAAAAAGAAAATGGTCAAAGTTGGGTAACGTACAATTTTGAAGATGACTTAAGTCGGTGAGTGCATTTTTAGACGTTCTCGTTAATTCTAACAACTTTTTATTTTCCTTCGGAAGTTCTGCGAGCCAGGGCATTGCTGGCCGTGCACGAGGAAAGGAAGTCTTCCCTTGAGCGTGACTTGTCCTTCGCTTTCTCTTCGCGTTTGCTTCGCATTTTTCTCGCGATTATCTCGCGATTTCCTCCCAATTGCCTCGCACTTGCCTTAGCTCGCCAGAATACGCACATTTGTTGACTTAACTCGGACCTGTTCCATAATGTCTGTAACCTGATGTTATTTACCTTTTGGCGCACTCTGACGCAATGTCACGCTTACAAGATTCTGTGTACGCAAGCTTGTAAAGAACCTGAAACAAGTTATAGTTTGCATCAAACTAAATTCATTGTTTTATGGATTTTAATAAATGAAAGGCAACTAACTACCTCAAAAAAGAAATCCTTAATCACCAAGATTTTTTTAACTCAGCTGTCATGTTGAGAGGGGAAGGGGTCAAAATAGACGAGGACAAAGAAATCTTTTTTCAACACTAAATATCAACTGACAAGTTGTCTATCACGGGCATTGTACGTCCCCCTTACCTGGTTTTCTCCCTGCCTATGGTCCACCCCCTAAGTAAAAATTTATTACTCTCTTAAATCCTCCTTTAGCAGGCAAGGGTAAAGGAAACCAAAAGGACAAGAATTAACTGATTCGAATAAACATGGTTTAAGAAGGAGAATTCAAAAAGAATTACATACGTTAATACTTTTTAAAAATTGAAACTTTTTTCTTTCGCAGAAACAAAATCAGAGACGAAAAGCTCTTGAAAATTTCATCCACCCTGAGCTTCACTACTTACCAGAAATATCATTAAGTGCACAAGCAATGTGTAGAAAAATACGAACGTTCTAGCAAATTTGTTTGACATGATAAACCGACCCTAGAAAATGAAAAGCAAAAGTATTTCATAAAGCTAAGTGCACTTTGCTAAGAGATGAAAATACTATTGCGGGGAGGGTGAAACCTAAAAAAAAAAACAAAAAAAAAAAAAACAAACAACAACAGCGAGGGAGAAAGTCATGGGAGAGAGCGCGCAGCGCTGGAGTTAAGGGTTCTTAAAAGAGGCTTAAAAATAAGTCTCCACTTATCGATAGGAGCATGGGAAACCGAGGTGCTTCTCATTATCAGAGGGGTCAAAGGAACCATACAGCTTATCAGAGTATCAGACTGATCGAGTGTCGCACAACATGCTGGTCTCCATTTGTAGTCCTACGTGCAAGAGAAGGTAGGCGCCGGCCGATTAACAGAATTAAATGGTGTCGACCGAGAACATGAAACGAATGTCGTAAATAAAGGTTGTGCTAGTTCATCGTGGTAAAAACAATTATATTAATAAAGAATTATCGTTTGTCTCACGATGCGGTCACTTATGATGTGAATCGCGGCGTTTCGACTGCATACTGCTAGTCTTCATCAGGCGATGAGATCGACTGGTTCAATGGTTCGAGTGGTTCAATTTGAAAATATTTTTCCACTTACCAGGTTTAGAGTAACCTTCTCATGCGGACTAAGCCCAAGGTATCTCTGTTGTTTCTCCTAAATGCAATAAACAGGTCATATCAATCAGTTTTTCAACTGAAATATAAAATACAGGGAACACTACAATCGTTTAAAGAAAGGGAGAGAAAGTTACTATAATTTCAAACCAAAGTATTGGTCCATAAAGTACACAACAACAGTACAAACCAGGCCTCAGATTGAGGCATCGCTTTGTGATTAAGTATTAAATCTAGCGTGACCTTAGTGATCACGATATGTGGCCTCTGTCACGCAACTCTAAGCCAGGAGCATCCTTTCGATTTAGAAGAACTGGGTGGCAGAAAAGGTGCTATACAGCGCTTAACCAAAGCTGCTATTAAGATCAGTTACCGCGCGACTTACCCGTTGATTAAAGGCTGAAAATGGATCCAATCTTTGTTCATATTGTGACGAGTATCTGCTGACTGTGGCTTCTTCTTCTCGGCCCCCTGAACTCTAAGGAAAAACAAAACCACGAAACGATCATAGACTAGAAAACAGGGCTGTGCTAAAGCCGAAAACTTTTTACGTAACTTTTGCAAAGTGCCTCTCTCTGAAAAGAGGTAAGCACCCCAGATTTCTGAGACAAGATCCTTCAAGCAACCAATGATTTGTTTCGGAGTACGATTTTGAAAAGCTCGCATCAAAAAAGCTTTGCTACTCTTTAAAAGCCATGCATAAGTAAAGGAAAATGGAAGAATATCGCACTGGTCTGTTATAAATCCAAAGGGGAGATAAGGGGCAAGATCTAATCTACCATATTTGAAATGAAAAGAAAAGTGTCGTATGTTCTTAACGATTGCTGGCTCACGAAGGGCACTTTTGGAAGGGGCCCACAGGTGGAATGTTTGGTTTGCATCATACCATGAAATTCGTTTACCTTCGTGGGGTAGCTTTGAAGAAATTTGATTTTCTCGTACAACTTCACGTTATCCGACCTCAGGGTGTCCACTTCATTTTGCAGCACACTGATCTGTTGCTGATTATGGCGTAGTTGCTGAAAGACCAGACGGAAACTTTGGTTAACCTTTTAGTAAGAGCCAATTCAAGGGTTTGGTATGGGTTTTAAGCAAAAAGCGTAAAGAACGAATTCAACCACTCAAAGTATAAATCAAAACGCGTCTGTAGCGCCGATTTTAAGTGAAATGGAGGGTAATAGCGTAACCCTTTCCACCCTATCACCAGCGCGTATACCGTTCTCTATACATTTTCAAAGGCGCTGAAAAGGAGGATTTGTTTCACAATCAGTAGCTTCGTTGGTGGTTGATCATTTTCTTTATTCTCGTCAACTTAATGCGTTAATCGGAGCTTATATTGCAAGGAGAAATTAGACTACTGTCATTCTTGGGGGTTAGGGTTAACCAAAAAAGGCAGAGGTTAACAAAAGCGATGTGATCCACAACGACAACAACAGCATAAACGTTCACACTTCCTGATAACTAACCGCTTCTAATTCCATATTACGGATTTTAAATCTCTCTCTCTGGCTGGCCACGATCGGTAGAAGAGATTCCATGGCTACATTCTCACCGGTTAGACCTACCATGGACAACAGACAAACAAACAAACAAACAAACAAACAAAAACAAAAAAACTATGAAATTCAGATCAATCATCCTGCATCAAAAACAACAACCACAATGATTTTCATATTCATGAAATCTTTTTAAGGATGCCTAATGAAAAACACGTCATGTCCTTCATTTGACAAAATAATAGATTCCACGTTGCAATGCGTCTCTTGAGTTATAGATCACAAATGACGTCCATGACACTGACGTTTCCATAGTAAAATTTATTTTCAAAGTGAAGCAAAGCATTATACCTGCTGGTGCCACAGCTTGTTGTACTGCATTAGATACAAGTTCTGTCTCAGTAGGAGGTCCTGCCTCGCCCTGTTAATAACACAATGACAGTTAACCACTGAACTCCAATGAGTTACTAACAATTTTTCCTTAAGAGCCATAAACATTTGTTGGGCTTGCCATTATGTCAGAGACTTTACACCTGAAGCTCACTTTTACGTATTCATTAACTACGGGGGATTTATCGCATTTTCTTTATAATTCCTACCGCTAGGCCGAGTATGAGCATTTTTCCTCTTATAATGTTTTGCTCTTACCTCTCCCTGACCACGGAATGCAGATGGAAGAGCGTTCACACTCAGAAGATCTGCTTCCAGCTGAGCAATAAGTTCCTTCTGTTCCTTCACTGTATTGACCGCTTCATTGTATTGTAAATGAAGTTCAGAATAACGACCTGAGATAAGAGAATAATGGGAATCCTTTCCTTACCAGTTGACACCCAAGACATGAAGCTAAATGCAACATCTACCTGATAACTTTGAGTCTTCTCATTACCAGTTTGCTGGATAAAGTATGGATATTATAGCGAGAAGTTACATGTTAATCACCTCAGGGAGTTAAAGAGTTAACCCAAATAACACAGAGAGGAATGCAGTGAAAGTTTAATGAATGTACGAGTTTGTCCATTAGTTTTGACGAAGAATGAGATGAAGTATGATCCCACACAAATATAAGCAGTAAAAAAACACTTTGATTGTGAAGTCTGATGGTCCAAATGAGGCCTGTGCTGAAGAAGACTGTCATTCCTTTAATAATCTGTCTGTGGCATGCATTCGTAAATAACATAAATAAAATTTAAGTTGGACAAGGCAATGTTTGACTCATTAACAAAGGGTGAAAATCCTTGATATCCTTGCATGTATTGCAGGGCTTGACACTAATTTTTCAACTTACTAGCCAAGTAGCTATAGAGACATCTTAGATGTTTTTAGATTTTATGACAATTTCAGTCAGTTTACTAGCCAGACTGGCTAGTGAAAATTGAAAACCACTTGCCAAAACTGAATTTCTACTAGTCTGTGGCTAGTGGGCTACCGTTAGTGTCGAGCCCTGGTATTGTGTAACACACCTGTCAGGTCAACATTTTCAACTTTTAAACTTGTATTTTCAGACTGAAGCTCTGCAAACAAAGACATCAGTAGGATTAACCCCCCAAATTGCAAAGATAATTAATAACCTCTTCTGAATTTACATCACATACATCTTTTGACAGTTAACAGAGGCTAATTTCAGGAGCAAGGACATTGCAGTAGTTACATTGTAAAAACTAGAAATAGTTTTCACTAGAGCTGCCCCCGCTTTTGAAGATCTGTTTAACACCTGTACAATGACATTGCAGTAGTTACATTGTAAAAATAAAAACAAAACATTTTCTGACTGTGCATTTACATACTTTTATTCTTGTCAAGAAGAAGCATCTCTAGAGATTTTGGAGTAGAGTCCTAAAACATATTAGTGAACAATTGAGTGTGTGTACTTGTATTTACAGTATAGCATTTTTCATTATAAAAAAAAATGTACAAAAAAAGAGAACTATTGATGTTTAAGACTGAAGTTTTTTATAACTATTTATTGACTCCAAGACTATACGTGGACTCTTGTTTTGCCACATATGACAAGGAAATGAATTATCACTATAATAACAATTCAAAGTTAACTAGTAGGTAAGGAGCTTGATGTAACACGTAAAATGAAATTAAGTGATGAAATTATATTTTAACACAATCATGATGCAAAAAAAAACAAACAAACAAAAAAAAATTGAGACATAATTATTTCTAGGTCTATACAAAATTAGTTCTACCACGAAGATACATATATTTGGTAATAATTATCAACAAAAGAAGTTGTGGACAAACCATCTTTTCTACATCCCTGGTTTCCTGGCTTGTAGAGAACTCAACTGATTTCAAAATGCTGATAAAACCACAAAATTAAAATGCATTAGTGCAATGTCAAATCATGAGAACAAGACAATATTTACACAGGGTAACGGTATACCCCTTCAGAACTACTTATCACCAGGATCCTGTACACCACAAATTAGTTTATATACACATAGGAAAGGACTGATCATCCTTGTCTGGTGTCATAAGAATATGGAGAAATAGAGTTGAAGCTAAAATCTTCCAGTTTAGCCTGAGTAGCTAGAGTTTTTCTGACCCAAAGCAAAATAAAGGCAGAAGGATTGTAGAAACAAGGCTTTGAAATTAGCCTAGTTGATTGCTGCTCATGTTTAAAGTGCAAATCCATTGTGGACAGTAAAAGTACAAATACAAAAATAATGTTTTACCCATCATCTCATCAGAAACCCACTTCAACTGAATGACAAACCCCAAACCAACATAATCATGTTGGCTCACACCCCAAAACCTTCACTTTAAGAAAGACAATTGGTTACCCATCACCCAATAACAAAAATGAAAAAAAAAAAAAACCTTGACACATTCTGTGCGTAACACACTACGACATAGCCAAAGTCATTCTGAACTCACTTCAATTCCCTCTTGATCTCTTCATAGTTGCCCTGTTCATCAAGTTTTGCCTCCTGAAATGACAAGAAAAATATTTAGTGAATGGAACAATGCCAAGGAAATTCAGTACTGAATCATCAATAGTCAATGGCTTTTAAAAAAAAGACACAACTTGTTCATTTGTCTCATGAAAACTCCTCTATTAAAAAAAATTAAACTGCCTGAGATGGTTTAGCCTAAACACAGTATCCAAGTTACATAGCAATTATCTCTAACATTCCATTTTATTCTTTTTGCTTATCATACCAACTGTTGAAGGGCTGATGTCTTGATAGCAAGTTGATCCTCTAGCCTAGCAATCTGTAAAGAAGATTAAAACAAAAAATAAAACCACAATATTGAACAACTGCTTGTATGTGGCAGCGGTGCTAGCAGTAACTAAAATTGTTTGCATCACTGCAAACCAGTAGGCTCAAGTACATGTGTGTATCAAATACAAACTTACCTCAATTGCAGTTGATTCTTTTAATCTATTCTGTATTGCTTGTGATTGTTGTACATCATTTACTAACTGAGATATCTGCAGTAGAAAGATGTAGATTTACATGTATCCACTAAATTTTGCACAAAGCTGTAGAAGTTATCAGTTTTAGGACACTTTTTTGAAATGCACATTTTGCATTTTTTTCATTTTCACACTTGTAAATTTACATGTATAAAGTACACTCCAAATTCATTGTTATTAATGATTCATAATGTAAATTTAGTACCTGTCTCTCCTTAGCTGCTAACTCATGCTCCAAGCTTGATCGTGAAATCGCATCAATGGTCTCGGACTGTAGTTTTCAATGGAAGAGAAGTGGAAAGAAAGCATGCTAACAAATGAGATCTATAGCCTCTTGTGTTGGTAAAAGCGTAACTATCCACTTACAGGTATAAGATACAAAATCACAAAAACAAAAAAAACAAAATTAACTAAATTTAAGTAAAGAAATATTCTGTAAACTAACCATGTTTGGCCTTTGCTCATCACCTGCATTCTGGAAAAGAAAGTTCATTAATGAAAGTAAAAGTAAGTTTCCAAACCCTGAGTGAAAAAAATATTCATGTCTAGATGGTCTTATCCAAATACATAATAAACAACAAAAAATTGGTCATACATCACTACAAACCTGTAAAGCATTCTGCGCAGCTATAAGCTCTTCTCGGAGGGATTCAACTTGCCTTTCAGCACTCAATGCTCTCTACAAAAGTGTAAGAAGTACATGATCATGTAAACAAAGTAGTAATAAGTATACTTTAAATTTATTTAACACTTTTCCGTATGATGCACGATCCTCGTAGGAGAGAGTGCTATTTGTGCAATAGCGAAAATCAGACCTGAAAAAAATCAGACCTGTACGGGATTTGAACCACTGACCTCTGCGATACTAGTGCAGCGCTCTACCAATTGAGCTAACAACTGGGAGCAGGCCGTTAAGTTGATTCGTAATAAACCCGTGATGATAAATCAGATAAGATGAATACAAGAAGTTTATGTATTTCGTTCATTAAAAAAAAATTAAAAAGGAAAAGAAAATAGTCATTAAAAAGGGAAGGGCTGTGAAGGCCATTCAAAGAAGAGTAGCTGAAGATTGTTATATTACAATGGAACATTTGTTGAAAGCACTTGATTAAAAACTGGACTTCGCAACCAAGGATATGTGGATTTCAGGTTTCAAACAACTTGACCCAGGAATACTGGTCAGCACACAAAATCAATTAAAATCTCTCCAAATCATCAACAATCTCACACAATATGAGATCTTTTTATTATTCATATATACATACATATAATATATATATATATATATATATATCTATAGTGATATATATAGTGATCAACTAAAATTTCAATGATTTGCATGGTAGACCAGTTTTTTCACAGAAAAATATGTAGCCTTACTATAAATACTTATTAAGTGCATCATTCTGTAAATTATGACAAAATGGTACCTGATTTGCTCTTTCTACATCACCTTCTAGTATTTCGATTTCTGAAGACCTTGTTAGGGAAAGAGAGCCTGTGTTAATGAAATCCTTTTCACTTACTGACTGACCATCTGACTTCAGGAACAACTTACTGACTGTCTGACTGTATAACTTCCACTCTGACAAAGGGCTAGTGCTTCAAATGTCAGCTTTGAAACTTTTTATGTTGGCCAGTTTACTTTTGATAAAACCAAAATTACTCTGACTGTCAAACTGACTGACTCGCCCTCACTGACTGATTGACTGACCCAAACAATGAGATATTGAACTCCACAAACATACAATGTACAAAGATAATAAAAACCAAATTGAGACATCATGTTTGCGTCTCCTTATAAGCAAAAGTTAAAAATAGGATCCTAATACTCAAGATAATTATTAATAGTGAGAAGTAACTATAACAAAAATAGTAAGCCATAAAACAACGAGTTATATGGACTTTACTGTGAAAATTTCAAGCCATCAAAAACAACTTTTATTGTCACATTTTTTGAGAACAACTGAAAGTGGAAAATTACATGTATGTTGGGACTAAAATAGAGTACCTTGCAGCAGCCACTTCGTCAAACTTGGCTTTCACATCAAAAAGCTCTGACTGAGTACTATCCAAAGCTATAACAAAGTTATACAAACAGATCACTATTTAAAATGATAATTATAAGAAATTAGTGGCCAGGGGTTTTGCTGTCTGGTTTAGCAGACCTAGTGATGAAATATTTTTTTCTGAACCACTGCTGAGAGATTACTTACCAGCCTGGAGGGTTGCTGCTTTATGCTCAGCTTCACCAAGTTTCTTTGCAACAGAAACTTGAGTTTCTTGTAATGTCTTTTCTTTATCAGAAAATATCTTCTGCATGTCTTTTTCTTTATCCTTAGTCCTTGCCTACACAGAAACAAAGTTTTATAATTATAATTTAACATTGGAGCTCCACAATTATTCATGTCTACTGTGAATTGACCTAAGTACACATAATTAATTTTACATACACACTGTAACTCACTCAATAAAAATCTCGATTAAAGACACAACTAAGCAAATGAAAATTATTCAGTGCTTTGTACCTGAACTCTTTCTTCCATCTTGTCCTCATACTCTCGTAGTTTTTCCTTCAGTCTGTTGATAGTTACCTCTGAAAAGAAATATATCTTATTAACCAAGTACGAGGGCCATACTGGGAGAATATCAGCCCGAGGTCTTAACAGTACGGACCTCGCTGCGCTCGGTCCGTACAATAAAGACAGAGGGCCGATATTCTTCCAGTACGGTCCTGAGCAAGCTTGGTTAATAAGAGATTTATTATACAACTGAAGTTCAAAGGGACACATGTGCAGTAGCCTGCAGTGCAGGCGGATTTTGGCGGGGCGAGGATATGTTCAGGCCGCCATCTTGAATTAGAAAAACAGTGGAGAGTTGGGGCGAGGTAAAACCTTTGGGGAAGGGCGAAGGGAGGAGGAGGAGGGGAAAGAAAGAAAAAACCTGGGTATTTTTCTTTCCCCTCCCCCTCCCCCTCTCTCCTTCCCCAAACATTTTACCTCGCCCCGATAGGAATATCTACTTGCCCCAACAAAATCCGCATGCACTGCAGCGATGATTTTGAAATGAAATGATTTTATTAGGGCTCCAAGAAGGCTTTTCAGTCCTAATTTACACAAATGCATTGGTCATTGTCTACAATAGGAAAACTACCTATCAATCCTAATTTACAAATGAATATTAAATATTATCTACAATAAATGGGCTTGCAGTCCTAATAATATATAACAATCATCGGGTGATTGGGAAGAACAAGGTTGTTAAATTTCATTGGCTAATAACATCGCTGCTCAATTCCATTGGTACTTAAACTGGGTGATTCCGACATGTCACGCTATACAGGTCAAATCAGACAAATCCAAAGTGTTTGTATTCCTGTTTTTCTCGTTGCCATGTTCCCACCAATAACGTAGCTCCATTTTCTGTCTTTAAAAGCACACACAACCCACAATTCCTCTATTCGCTCCGACGAAGGGCTAACGCTCGAAACATCAGCTTTTGTAATCGTTACGGTGGCCAATTTACCACTTCAAGTTTGTTGATATATCCAAATTATATAGATATATACCTGGGACATCTACAAGTTTCTTGTAAATTGAGAGAAAAGCAGTTTCTGATGCTTTACTTCTTTTTGAGAGAGCATCAATCTGACAGAAATAAATTGTAGTCAGTATCCAAAATGAAATAAATTCTGCATTATAAATAGCAACAAACTGGCGCAAAAAGTAAACAATTTTGCTTTATAACCACCAATTATAGTTTCAAAGTGTCAATAAGCTAAATCTCAACCAGTACAGTAATAAGCCAGCCCCCATTCAAATCCTCATTCCACTCCCAAAATTGACAAATATTATTCTAAATGAATTTCTCCAAATACACAAAGAACTAACTCATGGTAAAAACCATTTTACATGATATGTACATATAACAAAGGAAGTAAAAAAAATATTAACCTCAGCTTGAAAGCTCTTTAAAAGTGGTGCCATCTTTTTCCTGGTATCCTAGAAACAAACAAACAAAAAAAAAATATATATATATAACAATGTATCTATTGCAACACTGTAAAGCCCAAATAACAGCACCAGAAACAGTTTTTCACATGTAGATCATGTGTAACTCATTCAAAATCTTAAAGCATTAAATTCTAACCATATTCAGAGTTCTTTCACCAGTTGCACAATTTGCATATCCTTTTGATGACTGTCCATCATGATCAATTTATATTTACCATCTTCTCAAACAAATTTGGTGTTGTGTCATTGAATTTAGCTGGTTTCCTTGTAAAACGAGTCGGAATCATATACATGTATATGGCGTGCCAATCAAAGAACGCCACTGAAAACAAATTTCCGTTTCACGCTAGAGAGTACATGTATCGTTTGTTTGATATTCTAAATATTACAAAAATCTATCATCCTTTCCATAAAAGTGAACAGGTATATAATTTCTAATGAATCTACAGTTTAACCAAAGCAAACATGAGTATATGCAATCATTACCTCTGGAGTATTCTTTTTAAAATCCCGACTGAGCTCAACGAGCTTTTTTCGCGATGTATCTGATTCATCTTGGCGATCTGCGAGCTCTGCTGCAGTCGTGTCTAAAGATTTCTAACAACGTAAGGGCATTTCCACGTAAATGAAACTTTATACGATTATTTACAAATAACGAATTACATTTATTCCAAACGTTAATTACAAAAACAGAGAATCTTTGACACACGTGCGGAGAAAATGGTTGAAAAAATTATTCCGTTATATTCTAACCTGAAGATCTGGAAGAGAAAATTCTTTCCAAAAATTTCTCATGGACTGGAACGAAGAAGACGCCATGTTTGTTTATCGCCAACCTGGCGTCATGCGTAATGTAGAATATTTTCCTTGAATAAAATCAGACTTGCAATTGGTTCATAATTTAAACCAATCAGGAGGAATCTTTTATTCGAATTAGACATTCGCGGGAAAAAAATATGGCGGCCATGGCAGATTATTTTCCGAGAAGCCCAGATTCAATATCTCGACACCGTTCGCAGTACAAGTGCAGCACACCGCCCTGGAAAGAACAGTACAGAAAGGTACGGCGATTTTTGCGTTTTCCAATCATAATATTTGCGTCAATATAAGGTTTTGCTCCTTTTCGATTTCATCATCGATTCTTGGTGCATACGAGGTTTGGGAACGTCCTCTAGTTTTACAGAGTCAGTTTTCATACGTTTTCTCTCTTTTAATTGTAGTGAACGAAAACTAAATTCTTATTGATAAGCTCCAGCAACGTTACATGAGTTACATTAGTATTGCTATAGTGTTATGAGTTCACCTAAGAGAAGACCATGCATCCAGCAAAACACAGAAGCTCAATGAAGAAGAGGGGGAGAGGGTGGGTGGGTGTGAGGGCCATAGGTTAGAAAACTGTAAAAGGTTATTGTGCTTCCCTCCTTAAAAAATAAAGTTCAGTTAAGTTAAGTTATGATCCACTACTAAATATAACTCCAAGTTGTTTTATTGTCATTTAGGAGAGAGAGGGGGGAAAGGGGTCATTATTGATAAAGGAGCAAGTTTTTTTTAGTTTTATGGATGGTGAAAAATACAAAATCAAAATTAAAACCCTGTAGACTTAAGACTTTTTACTTTCCTTGATATGTGAAACTTAAAGTTGTTTATCTGATATTTGAATCATTTCTACTTTTTTGGTGTGCATGAAATGTGTGCAGGATCCCCTATCCCTTTACCCCCTCCCCCCCTCTTAGGTGTAGAAGACAGGTGATGCTAGACAAATTATAAGTATTTAAACCCTGTCAATCTCAATATCTCATTATTAATTCTCTTTACTTTCTGCATTACACTTCTAATGAAGTCAATTTACAGAATTTGGTATATGTACTCACGCCTGCCACTTCCACGAAACGCATGACAACGCCTCCAAAATGAAATCCCAGGTGCACTAGACCCAGGGGAACCTCGGCAATAGACGCGCAACCCCGGGAAATCACGGGCGACGGAGTGGCATGCGTGAGACTGAGAGGCTGTGAAAAAGGAAGGGCTGAGCCTTGAACTCACGCCTGCCACTTCCACGAAACACATCACCACGCGGCTAAAATGGATTCCCGCGTGCACTAGCTAGTCCCAGGGGAGTTGGGGGATAGGCGCGCACCTCCTGCCAAATCACGGGCGCCGGTGTGGCACGCCTGTGGGGGAGGGGGTTTAAGAGCCGGGAGGTTCTTTTTTTTTTGCATTCCGATCCCCGCCCCTACAATTGCAGAAAAACAAAATTTAAAATTTCATCAGTAACTTTTGAAAAGGGAAAAAGTGAGGTTGAATTTCTCATTGGTCCTTTTGAAATTAGATCTGAAAGTCCAAGTTTATTCACCCTCTTATACAGATAAATATTTAAATTACAAGAATTCTTCTAATGACACTATATGTCCTATCTCTGTGCTCCATTCAGATTCTAAAATCCTAAGTAAATACAAACCTTTACTCAGTTTTTTGTGTTGTATGAATGATCATGGTTGAACTGTCATCTCTACTTGTATCTGCTCTCTAGAGGTGTCTGGATAGGCTTAAAAATGGGAGGCAGAAATTTTTGGAAAGATTTAGGCAAACTAGTTCAGAGACAAATGACTCCTCTTTTGTCGATGAAGTAATGGATGAAGAATGGCTCAGGCTGAGTGAAGAAAACGACGAGCTTTCACCATGGCGTCCAACCAGAAGGTCATGCACACCATTTAAAGGGGTGAGTAGAAACAGGGTTAGGGTATGCATCAGCCCAATTGTTTGTGCATGCCTTGTAGACCCTTCAACTCCCAAGATCTGAGGGTCAATTCTCCCCTCTAGGTGCAGCACATTTCCTTGTAAATTAGCTACAAGAATTTGATATTAGATCAAGATAACAACTTCTACCTGTTTAGTTTGAGTATTCTCATCACCTGTTTATTGGATAGTGTGAGGATGTTACAGGGAGAAGTTTCATGTTGATCAGAATTGGGAGTTGAAGAAGTGTGGGTTCAAGACCTGGCCGAGTCATGATGCTGAGCTCTTTGGCAAGACACTTTCATATTGCTTCTCTTCACCCGGGAGTGTAAATGGGTACTGGCTAAGAGCACTGAATTGTACACAGGTTTATACGCAAATAATGTACTTCAAATACCAATGAGATCTTTTTAATCATTATAGTAAATAGGGTAAAAATGCCCGAGATGTATCAATTAACTTGTATCATTTTGATTTGTGCATTACTTGAATTTTAAAATATTCATTTTCTGTCTCTTCTAGATTGAATTAGACAGTTCTGAGGATACTTCAGTTGAAGAGGTTCTGTCTATAATGGAGGAAATTCAAAAGGAACTGATGGATGAAGAAAGAAACATTCTTTCCCAGTATGAAGAAAATCTGAAGTTTGAGGAAGCTTCTTTATGTGCAGCAATTGAAAGTCTTGGAACAGAGGATTATGTCATTTGCCCAGTTTGTAAAAGGTTGGTGAACTCTTAACTATAGACGATGCAGTAGAGAAAACACTCATCCCCCACCATTGTAGTGTGGGTTCAATTCCCATACCTGGTGTTACTTGTGGGTTGAGTTCATTGTTGGTTCTTGTCTTTGTGTTGAGGGTTTATCTCTGGGTCCTCTGGCTTTCCTTCCTCCACAAAAACCCACCCTCCTCCAAAAAAACCCACCTTCCAAATTCTAGTTTGACCTGGAATCAGTCCACAAGAAGAGCCATCTGGTGGAGTGACCTTTGCTAAATTACCTTCCCTTTCCAAATTTATAACGTAATCAAAGTAAAGC